ATTTCTTTGCCGGAAATAGTATTGTGATATAGAGTGACTTCGATGTCGGCATGCATGCAGGACAAGTTAACTTCCTTCGAAAAGCGGAGCTTGAGCCAGGAACGGCTTATAGGTTCAGAATCGCTGGTATCAATTCAATTGGACGAGGACCGTGGAGCGAAATCTCTGCGTTTAAGGTATTCAATCAGTGCCTTGTTATCTTTTCATTCTTATTTTTAGTTCACTTTATATAGTAGTATTAATAAAAATGTGTTTTAGACCTGCCTTCCTGGTTTCCCAGGTGCTCCCTCTTCTATCAAAATAACAAAAGGACAAGATGGCGCTCAGCTGACATGGGAACCTCCACAAAATGTAGCAGGTATCGTAGTTTGGTTTTATAAATAGAGATGATGAGGGCCTTTTCTTGTTTGATGGACGTCAAAATAAATTGTTCAGAATGGGGTTGTTATGTCGCCAAATGTAGTTTTGTTGAAAAAAAAAAACTCCACAATTTTAGGTAGAATTTCCGAATATAGTGTCTATCTGGCTGTTCGCAACACCTCAGGAGCAAGTGACAACCAGTTGGCATTTATGAGGCGAGTTGTGGTTTCATTGCAATGCTCGGCCTACCGGATTGCGTTTTAGCGTTTAACCAACAACGTGGCGAGTACTATTTGCTAGTTTTGAGACATAGAATCTGTTTTCTTTTTTTTTTTTTTTTTGTAAACAGTTTTTCCCCCCCCCCGTCTAGGAAACGAACTACAAAGAATTAGGGTTGATAGACCTTTCCAGAACAATTCAGAAAATACCTGATCAACGATAAGTATATCCCGCTATGAGGTATTTGAGCCGAAGATTCTTTGGCACTATTCAACTATTACGACCCCAAAAACTCAAAATTTTATTTTTCGTCGAAACTTCGCCTATAGGGGTAATTCGGTGCCCTGATCACGAAAATGAGGTTCATTTTTGGCGCTGGCGCCATTTGGCGCCAATTGGCGCCATTTGGCGCCAAGGGTGTTTTCACCAAATTCGCTGTAAACTTGTGAATAGGGGTTATCGAGGCTCCTGATCACGAATATGACCTTAGTTTTGGCTCAATTTCTCTAGGTGACGCTCGAAATAGATGTCATCTAGGCGCTCATCCAGTAAGGGGGGGGGGCATCAAGTGGCTGCCCTCACCCCCACCCCCCTGAACTGGCTTCACTCCCCCTGGCTCACGGGGTCCCGTACTTCGAGAAACCTGTGTGCCAGGGGGAGTGTAGGCAGTCTAGGGGGGTGGGGGGTGAGGGCAGCCACTTGATGCCCCCCTTACTGGATGAGCGCCTAGATGACATCTATTTCGAGCGTCACCTAGAGAAATTGAGCCAAAACTAAGGTCATATTCGTGATCAGGAGCCTCGATGAAAGAAAAAAAAAAAAAAAAATAACCCTAATCCACAAGTTTACAGCGAATTTGGTGAAAACACCTTGGCGCCAAATTGGCGCCAATTGGCGCCAGCGCCAAAAACGAATGTCATATTCGTGATCAGGACCTCAAATAACCCCTATGTGCAAGTTTACAGCGAATTTGGTGAAAACACCCTTGGCGCCAAATTGGCGCCAATTGGCGCCAAATGGCGCCAGCGCCAAAAATGAACCTTATTTTCGTGATCAGGACCTCAAATAACCCCTATGTGCAAGTTTACAGCGAATTTGGTGAAAACACCCTTGGCGCCAAATTGGCGCCAATTGGCGCCAAATGGCGCCAGCGCCAAAAATGAACCTCATTTTCGTGATCAGGGCACCGAATTACCCCTATAGGCGAAGTTTCGACGAAAAATAAAATTTTGAGTTTTTGGGGTCGTAATAGTTGAATAGTGCCGATTTTTGTGACGTGTGGCCTTCAGAACTCATTCCGTGTTAGTCGATATTTCGTTTTCATTTCTCTTCCCTTTGATTTAATTTGACGCAAACTATAAGCTGTCTGTGTACCTTCTTCAAATGAAGGAGGCTTATTTGCAGGGTATATGTTGGAGTTGATCCGGAGTGTATCGTCAACCAATCTAGTCTGGCTGCAGCGTTTGTTGATCAAAGCGCGAAGCCTGCTATCATCTTCAGGATAGCTGCAAGGAACGAAAAGGTAGTTCAGCAAATATTTTTTTGTAAAAACTTTTCGATGAAGCTACATCATTTTTTCTCCATGCAGTTGAGGTGCAACAAGTCAAATTTTAGGGCTATGGGCCTGCTACCCAAGTACGGTGGCTACAGGATCAGAAACCGGTTATGGCTCCGACAATTGCCGCATCCAATGCTGCAGCACGATACCCTGTTGGCTATTATTCTCAGCCGAAACGACATCGTTTGGATCAATTATGAGTAGTGATTGGTGAATTGTTGTTGTTTAATGTTATAGTCTTTTGAATTTTTTGTTATGTTCTATTACTACACCATATTTTGTGAAGATCGCTCGCAAGCAGTGGTCGGGAAATACCCCACTCCAGCGCGAGCTCATTATCTTTTTCAAAAATTGACAGCTCCCGCGGCAAGCTGGTGGTGTCTCGGGTTGAACTCCAAGTTCGCAGTTGTAAATGACACCAGGCATCTAAGATAGAGTGCTTGGCCTGCGCGAAGTATGAAGCGCTTCTGGAGCGCAATGTAAATAATTCTTTGATTAGGAGTATTTTCTTCCGAACCCCTGTACTTTCCAGGCATGCTCCGAAGGTATTTAGTGTAGTCAGCTTTGCTAATGTGTGGTCTTATCATTTCTGAGTGGATTGTACATCTCGTGGTTCACAGAGTACTTTGTAGCAACAAACAGCATAATATGAGCACAATAACAATCATACAGCAGCATGATTGGCGAATTGCCTTTTTGTGGACTCTAAGTATTTTTGCGCCATCTTGTATTTGCACATCGTGCCCTGCTCAAAATTCCGCTGCAATAGCCTGAGTTCTTAGAATTACACCAGTTGTCTGCTGTCGTCCGCGTGTCCATAGCCAAATAGTGCTCTGTGACTGTGTTTTCTGTGTATACGGCAAGTGTCAGGCTCGCGCAACGCGACCGCGCGATTTGCTAGGGAGCGGTCACAAAGTCTGGCATCTGCCGAAGACTTTATTTAGTCCGTCTGCGCATTGGCTTTCGCGGCAGAACCATGTCAGGAAGTTGGTTCACGGTGAAAAGCTAAGCGCTGTTACGTCAGTGACAACATCTGACTCAGCAGATAAGGCAGTAATTATAAAACACAGTTGAGACAAGAATGCGTAGCCGTGGGTAGAAAATGGCGCAGACGGCTCGGATCAATTGCTAAGAACCTTTTCGCACGCGAAGCCATTTTTCTTGTACCCGTTGCTGGATCACTGTTTCCATATTGTTTAAAATATTTCCACAATTTCGTTGATTTCCGATCGATTCTCTAAGCGATTTGATCATCAAGTAGGTTGTGAGTAGATGGTATTGATTATTGATGGTTTGTTAAAGGCTGTATAACTAGCGAAAATTGTTGGCAAATTGTCAAAAGTAAAACTTTATGTATGAAAATTGTATCCCGACAGAAGTAAGCTCAGAGCGCATGACGTCACCAACTACGGACGTCTTAATTATTAACAAGAATATCTGGAAAACCCTGTATCCGACAGAGATTGAGGTGCGAGATTGTTTGATGAGAATGTGGAATTCGGCGCAGAGCACAATCTTGGCCGGGATGGTACTTGCATAATTGCAGACGTGAAAAACGGGGTCTAGCGGAAGATCAAAGCAGCCGTCTCTGATTGTGTCTCCTCATCGAGTAGTAGTGCGGTCGTCTTGAAGCGCTTTCTCGGATTTCTCGACCCAACGATTTGCAATTGAGCCGTTGAAATTGATGTACGGCACGTTTGAAGTTCTGCAAAGAAACGATATCGTTATGTTGAAGGAGGAATTCACGATAAGAACGAAGGTCAAAGAAGGGGAAAATTGCATAGTTGGGAGACAGGCGGACCTCCTGAGGGTGCTGACCGACGCGCAATTGGCAGCGAAAGATTTGACGGCGATCTAGCATGGCTCACTCTTGGCGCGGTTGGCGGGGTACGCCCACCGACTATCTAATCACTCCGCAGGTCTATACGTGGCGAGTGATTAGATAGCAGAGAGAGCGTAGTGTTGAAGAGGGCACAGCGATGAGAGTCGCATCAATGCGCAAATCAACGGGCAAGGAAGGGGTCCCATTTCTCGGGTTTCGGGCCGTTTCAAATGGTTTCTTCTTCATCCCTGCTCCACTGACCACCTCTACCCTTATTTCCAATGAGCTAACTTTTCATCGTAAATTCTGCCTTTAAGGGTCTAGGGGGTTCATTACCTTGTCTTTCTTCCATGCCAAAATGAGATTCGCTATGAATTGTCCATCGTTGCCTTTGGACGCCATCACAAGAAAGCGACGATCGCCGGTGTCGGTAACATTGCAGGGACATCCAGCCGAATCTCTGCCGAAAGTCGCACAATCTTACAGAAAACATATTTATATAAACATCAAACAAAAATTGTTTGAAAATTGTCATTGTCTTTTAGGCGATCGGCGTCTTAAGAAGTGTTTTTTTTTATTGAATTATTTACTACTTTATGTGACTTCTGACCACCTGTAGCGAATTCAAGGACGGAAACGGCACACATTCTTCTGTGTTGTATACTTCTGGATGGAACTGCCCGACAAATAATCTCGTTGTTATCCGCTTGTGCAGCACAGGGTCGGTCCGTCGTTGAGCAATGATCACGTGGGGGAGGTCTGTAATTTTTTAAGGGGGGGGTTTTTTTTTTCCCGGATGTGGTCGTGGTGATGGATGTTGAGAGGGTTGTGTTGTCACACTCCTCAAACGCCGCCCTCCCCCGTGCCGCTCCATGACACGGTTTGAGGAATGTTGAGATTGGCAATCAGTCGAGTGTCTCCTTGTCTAGAATCCAATCATGTAGCAGTGGGAGCAGCCATGGTGGAGTGTGGTGGGGGAGAGGAGGGGTTGGAGGTGAAGAGTGGAGTGGCTCGATCGGGACCTGCTTCAAGGTTGCCTGTGATGGTGGTATGGGGCCTGTCGAGAAATCCATAAGAGCCATGAAAAATTTCGAACCACCACAATACAACATTTGACCCTATCTGGAACCCTATTGTCCCAAGCACAATGAAGTGTCACTGTAAAGCAACTCAGATTGCGTTGAGCTAGAGACACTTCATTACACTTCACTACTCTTTCCATCGAATATTCAGACCCATTTTGGAGAGTGGGCTATGCCAGGGGCGGTGGTAAATAGCCTTTACAATTCGCGCGGTGAGGAATCAAACACCGGAACAAATTTGCCTTACAGGTCAGTCAAGCATTTTTTTTCTGAGTCAAATAACTCATTGCGGACCGCCCTTTGTACGAGTATCTCCATATCTTTTTTTTTATTTTTTTATAAATCAATCATCCATATATTATCAACCCTTTTGGTGATAACACGTATTGATTGACTTGATTAATACGTATTGATAACACGTTTTCCAGCTTCTGAAATGAGTGCAGTTCAAGAGCATTGAAAAATGCCAAATAGATCAGATAAAACCAAGCTCTTTCGTGTGAAATCGTGCACCACATGGTGGCGCACGCGGTACGCAATGTGTTAAATCAAACCAGTTTCTTCGGGGAGGATGCAACAATGGATAGCGCACCAACTCGCTATTGACAGGTATAGGCCAACATTTAGGCTGGTCGCTATAGGCTTCAACTACTAGGTACATAATCACTCCTTATGGCCGCTGCTACCGTACCTACTGCACCAGGTCCCTTCTGCACCCTACCGTGGAATGGTCATACCACCTCAAGAAAGCCATTCCAGTACACTTCAAACTACTCGGCTTTTTAGGGTTTTTGAAACATGAAAGACAAAGGCACATGAAACTGTTTGTAGTCTGTACAATGGGGGTTAGGGGCGCCGGCTGGCGTCCGTTTCATTTTTTCTCTCCGAATCGGCATTTTTACACTGCCCGACCAACAAATGGACGCTTATGGAATATGGTGATCAGTTGGCCTGAGTTGAGGCTTGACCCGCGGATTGCACGCGGAATAGCGCGACTATTGCCACGGGTTCCCACTGTCCTGACCAGGACGAGTCCCATCGAGTCGTTAGTAGGGCCTATGAGATTTTGGAGTGGATGAATCGCAAACAACCTCTCCTTCTTTCCCTTCCCCGCTCGCAGGATGTTGCAATAGGTTCGACGGTATTATTGACATCATTGACCAGAGGAGGTTGTATATGTGTGTTTGGGGAGGGAGGAGGGGAAAGAGAGGGAGGGCGTACCAGGGTCAACCGTGCGTTCGCACTATTCGAACGAGGGGGTCGCATTTGTGGTTGGTTTTGGGAAGGGGGGTCGCATTCAGGGGTTGAGTGGGATAATTTGTTGGGTGAATGGTGAGGCGATTTAGATTGGTTTTTTGAGGGATTTTGTGGATGTAATTGGCGCACAGCGTGAGGTAGGATAGGTGGGAGGAGAAGAGAAAATTTGCTTTGTGGTTTCATTGCACTAATATTCCCCCCGCTCGACCCGTTTTGGAGGAGAAGTGGGCGGAGTAGCGCTGTGTCAACTGGTCTTAGAATCGAATACTATAGAAACACCCATGATGGTGA